CAGGCAAGGCCTGTCTGCTATTACTTTCGTTTTCTCCTAGCGTTTAACGACGCCATCTTGTATAATGGCGACGGGATTCTTTCCGACCATACCTCTTTCTTTCTCTTGCTGAGAGAATCTTTAAATGAATAATTCGAATATACATACAATAAGTGTCGTACATCATTATACTTATTAGATTTATCTTTGAAAACTATTGGTATAGTATGTTTAGGATGAAGACAATTTAGAAATAAATACATTAGTAGTGAAAACAAAGAAGGAACAACTATTAAACATGAAAATATCAGGTAGTTCCTCCGTTTCAGCATGTTAAATTTTAAGTAACGGACATTTTCTGTACATTATCTTCGTTTTTGTTTAATTCACTTATTATAAATAATTCTTTCAAGTGTCAAACTAAGTAAAAATGTAATAAAGTTATACGAATGTATTTATTTCTAAATTGTCTTCATCTTAAACATACTATACCAATAATTTTTAAGCAAAAATCTAGTAAGTGTAACGTTATACAATTTTAAGTAACAGTCACTGTATGTAAGTTTGGTTTGAACGTCACATACTTAAGAAACAGATCGAATGTGTAATAAGATAGAAAGAAAGAATCCTGTAGAAGCGAATAAGACGATGTAGTAGTGAATGTCTTTTTCGCTTGTGTCTCGTCGCTTCGTGGTTGTCCTCGATGTGTCGTTGCATTGTCACGCCGTGACATCGCAGAGCGCATAACGTAACGTATAACGTATTTACGTATGTATGGATATATATATATATATATAGACTGCGTACATATGTATGTAATACGTCGTACGATATCGTGTGCCATTGTCGCTCGCCATTGTCGGGCGCCATTGTAGCTGCAAGCGCGTCGCGTATGATCGGACAACGCATCGCGTTTGTAGCCGTGACTGCTTACGGAGATCGACCGTCGTATGTGACGTCATCGTATTATACTTGCTAGTAGGTTGCCTACCGAATTAGGTCGACGTTGTACTCAAGCCTCGTTGTTCCTTGTGTACTTGACTACTTACTTTACATTTCCCTAAATTCCCAAGAGCTACGACATTGCTCTTTCGTTGATCTAAAAAATATGTTAAATAAAAAGAAAAGAGTATGTACGTTTTATTTGACTCTCCATAGCCATCGCTTTCGCAACGAATCAACGAATACAGCAACAAGAATAGGAGAAGAAAGAAAGAAAGAAAGATTTGCAGATAAGAAAGTAAAGAATAATCGAACGGAAAGGAAGGAAATATCCTTGGTGTCTCTGGTGTTTGTCAACGATACGAGGCCAAGGACAAGAGCAAAGGGTTGATACTCCAAACGGAAATCTCATTAGCAACAGTTATATCTAACGATCCGACTTTGCGTTAATGTTGGAAAAGAACGATAGAAATGGATAGATGGGATTGTATAGAAAGAGGGAGCGGGAGAGGAAGAAGGAGAAGGGGGAAGGAAGAGACGTTGGGATGGTATTCGCTTGATAGGTACAAGAACCTCGGCGGGAATAACCTAACGCAACCCCCAGGTCAATATCGCGTCGAGATCCTTGAAGCAGCAACGACGTTTTCGACGGTGATAGTAGCTTGAGTCGTCGCGGTTCTACCAGAAGGTTAGTAGTGAACGACCGGATTGATTTTCTCCGGCCGGCTTGCACCGTGACGTGACGGAACGGTATTATCTCTCCCTCTACCCGCCACACCCTCTTATTCCCCTTCCACCGCTACGCGCAACATACGAAGTCGCCCGAAGCGCTTTTCCATGAGAACCGAACGACGCGCGAACGCGCAAGGGTCTTCTCTCTGCTGATGCGTCTCCTTCGCCATCATCTTCTCCCTTTCCCTCTCCCTCTCCCTCACCCTCTCTCTTTCTCCCTATCCATCCTTCTTCTACTCTCGTCTACTACACACTACGACGCTTGTGGTTTCGTCATCACTTGGAACCACGGTTGAGGGAGAAAACTAAAGGGAGAGAGAGTAGTAGCTTCTTCAGATCGATACTGTCGACTGAATCACAGCATTACATATTATATATATATCTATATCTATTCTTCTCCCTCGCTCTCTTGGTAGATAGATAGAAATAAATGGAAAAACTCAACAGACAAAGTTCGATTTTAACGGAAATCGTTGGCGAATTATATTCTATAGACAAGGATGACTCGAGACCTATGAACGACGCAATCCAGAAGCTTCGTACTATCGGGAGCGTGCAAAGAGAAAGAAGGAGAGAGAGAAAGAGAGAGTTGGATCGGCAACATCGCTCGTACTTTTGTTGCGACGTTGTCACGTTCTCGCGCCGGTGACGTCACGAGACGCACTAAGAATCATGCGAGTACGTAAGGACAGCCGGCGGCTTGCTCGAGTGATTCGACGACTCGCCTCAGCTACTCGCGTATACGTAAACATTGAAGCTCGACTTATGCTTGTACAAAAAAAAAACGAAAGAAAGAAAGAGAGAAATAAAAATCATTACGACAACGCTCTTTTTTTTTGAGTAGTGTAAACTGATTAAAATCTCCATTATCTGTGTTATCTTTCCTTTTTGTTTTTTTTCTCTTTTTTTATTTAGAAATATTTTACTTTTCTTTTCACTTTAATCTCTCTTATCGTGCTCCTTATCTTTCTATTACGTCAGACGCCGATAACTCGATGTTTTTGTTTCTGCATAAGGTTTCTTCTTGTGCAATGGAATTTAAATTTGTATATTATGTTTTTTCTTTGATATTTTCTGTTAAAATATTATTACGAGGAATAGAATGCGGAATGAAATTGATTTTTTCTTTTGTTCCCTCTTCTTTCTTCTTGTTAGATCGATTAAAGTAGACAAACTGTTCAAAGAGTTGTTCATTTTAGTCGTCGTCTGGCGGTTAGTCTCGACGAGGCGGAAGGAAGTCATTCCGTGAGATGCATTTGCATTGATTAAAAAAAAAAAAGCAAAAAAGGTCGACCCTATCAGTTACCCCTATGCGAAATGTAGTGACCCAGTGACACGCAATGAGAAACGTGCTATATACATGCACCACACACACACACGTATAGCGCCTGCTGCAGGAGTAACTTGCTCTACGATACGAAACACGATTCGGCAACTAACAATTCTACTCTTCACGTTTAACCTGCAACACTAAAATTCATTGATAGAAAAATGAGTATACATATGTGCATGTATATTTTAACATTTCATAATATTAGTTTCCAATATTTCCCAAAGATGACGGAGTAAGAATGTTACTTTTTGATACGATGCAGACGTTACGTGACAGGTTCATGGACGCGTTTGGAAAGACAAATAGAAAGGAATAGCAAGCTCTGTATTTAAAAGAAAAAAAAGAAGTAACAACGAGGAGAATTTTCCAACATGTGGGCTAGCTTCCAAGTCGTTCTCTTTCCCTTCCTCTATCGATAGAAAAAATAAAAAACAGTGGAATAATGTTGAAAAGTTGATTTGGCCGGCTCCTCTGGTGGTGTTGGTTGGATTCCTCTTCTCCCATCTAACCAAATCTCTCGCACGTGCTCGAGTTATCCAGAGGTCAAACCAAAATTATCGATCGATTCTACGCGAATATGTGTATGTGCGTTTACATACATATATACGCGTGTTTACGACTCGGAACGATTTCGACGTTGATTCAGCCTTCGGCCTCTCATTTATCTCGAAGACTCCTATCGAGTATCCGATGATAAGCGCCTCATGCAATTAAGTTCTACGCTTCTCTTGCCACCTTGGAGATAACCGTGAAAATAGACTATGCAAGAAAATGATGGACGTGTAACGCTCCTTAGAGATCTCTCTCTCTCTTTTTTTAACCGTTTGATGTCAGTATCAAATAGAGCGATCAAGCTCTTCAGATTTCATGTCGGAGAAACCTACTGCATTTGACCGTTTTGGACGACTGACGGTGCATTAGAAGGATTATGCCTGACACATTTTAATACAAAAATTGATGATAATTTCGGCAAGATTTTTTCAAGGAACCCTGGGACTTAAACGGTTAATCGTGATCTTTGTTTGAAGCAATTCTATATTATGATACATCGCGTGCAAGTATGCACTAAATACGTGTCTACGCACACGTACAAATGTTTTGTTCCGTATGCAAGAAATGAGAGGATAAAAACACCCGTCGACGTCGAACGATCCTTCGTTTATTTACGTCGTCACGAAACGAGTAAGAAAAAGGGGTGGCAGAGGATGTCGAGAGGAGGTGGTAAAGGTGGAGCAGGAGGAGGAGGAGGGTCAGGGGGGGGGACAGGAAAAGAGGCGTTCGAGAGGGATATTATCGGCCTCTTTTTCCTCCTCCTCCTCCTCCTTTTGCCCTTTTTCTTTTTCTTTTTCTTCTCTTCGATCCTAAGCAGCACAGCTGCCAGCAAAGTTCTCTTCCTTACGCGCGATACCGTATCGCTGAACCAGAGAAAAAGGAGAGAGAAAGAGAGAACCAGCACTACCAGCGCCAGCAACAGGAACAACAGCCTTCGACTGAGGAACTTTCATATTGCTAACTCGTTCTACGACTATGATGTCACATAGAGAGTGATGTCATTCTAAACGAACCGATGACGGATGAATTTCATGGAATATTCCTTTCGGAGAGTATTTATATTCGTACTTGAAAAAAAAAAACAACAAACACACGCGCGCAGTCGATTTATATATGCACATTCGCGATAATTACACGTGAAGTTGCATAATTTCGAGAATTCTTAATCCACCAGGTTTGTAATACGACGATGATGTTGATAATAATAATAATAACACTAAGCTCGCAAATGCATTCTATCATAACGGAGTCTCAATCTTCATTGATCGCTATCTTAAGCTATTCTTATCTAATTGTAAGAAGAAAAAGCAAACAAACGATCATTCTACAAAACTCGTCGATATAATGATGATATTAATTTACATTGTTTACAACGAAGATATTAATTCGAAAGAAAAAATGAATAAAGTTTCGTTTTAGCATCTATTAATTAATTGATATTATATATTTGTTATAAATCTAAAGGATAAATGGAGCAAAGAGTCTTGGGCGTAAAAGAAGAAGCAATAACAGATAGATTCCATGAGGTTTTCTCGAGTGCGTAAAAGAGATTTCTCTTTATTTTTCGTAAAGAAGTCTGGGAAGGTAGAGCGCATGCGCAAGAGTATGTCTTTCTCTCTCGTGCGCATCTTTTCGTATCCCGGTCGTGCGGTGCCGGCTACGTGTCAGCCTAGAGCGCTTGATGGCGCGCCTGCGCTGCTTGCGATTATGACGTCACGGAATGTGACGCCACAGCGCTCGATTGGTGGAGCGCGTCGTACTCTCGCGTCGTCGTCGTCGTCGTTGTTGCCGTCGTTGTGGACCGGTCCGACGAGGTGGGTCGCGCTGGTTAAGCGCGAACGTTTCGCGAGTTTAACGAGAGGTGGAGAGGAACGGCGAAAAGAATCGGTAGCGCGAGTCGAGCTGATTCTCTCGTATGGTTGCGTCGGGTGAGCGAAAGAAGGAAAGAAGAAGGGTTGGTAGGGATATGACTAGTGTAGCGGTGGTGGGGAAAGACAGAGCGTGCGCAGCGTAGAAAAGCGTCGGTGGCATGTAGGTAGGGGGATGCAGGGAGCGAGGATTGTCCGGAGGAAGCGACACCCGTAGCTCCGCTTTACCACCGCATTCTCGAGCGTTCGTCTTCGCTCGTCTCGTCGCATATTAGCAGCGACGACGGAACAGTGCCAGTAACAGAAGCGTACCACCAGGCAACGTAGCAATTGACGGACGATCGCGGTTTACGCGCACGTACTCGTCGCGCGCGCGCGCGATATCTCGCTTTTACATTGTTTTTTTTTTCTCTCCTACGCGTATCGAGTGTCAGTTTATTGCAGTTTGTTAGAGATCAAAATATTCGCATCTCTTATTTACGATAGTCGCCATTTATTTCGGCGGTTAGTGTTGGTGAAAAACTTTTCTTCGTTGCTTGCGTCCAATAGTCGACTCGCCGCCACGGTTAGTGATCCACGCTCGAAAGGAGAAAAGAAAAGAAAGACCGTTTAAAGCGGGAGGGGAGGAAAGAGATCGAAGTGACGTTTCCGTGGGAGTTCCTTCTCCACAGAGGTGGAATCCTTTCGCGAGTGCGTAGTGCGCGCGTAAAGAGGTTTCTTAGTTTGCTGATCCTCCGTTCGAACGGGTCATGCTCTAGAAACGCTTCTCTCTGGCTTACTACCTATCAACGTGCGTTCAAACGCTAGACTGTAGTTAACGAAGACTGAAAAAACCAAGAGGATTCCTATTCCAAGAGTAAAATACGATAAATCTAAAGGGGAAGAGTGAAAGGGAAAGCGGAAAGTGGATGTGAGTTGTGATAGCAGTAGAGGAGTGGAGAGGAGAGGAGAGGAGTGTCTGGTTGGTTGGTTGGTTGGCTGGCTGAGTGGCTGGCTGGCTGAAGTTTATCGATATCTTGAAGATCGACGAATCGTCAAAATGATGGGAAAGAGAACGCAGTGCTATTTGTGCGATTTACCCAGAATGCCCTGGGCAATGATCATGGACTTTTCCGAGCCGGTATGTCGTGGTTGCGTGAATTATGAGGGAGCGGATAGGATAGATCTAGTATTGGAGTCTGCCAAGCAATTGAAGAAGGCGCACGGATTTCAAGATGCCAGGCCGTCCGCTTCGAAGGCTTACAGGTCGGCTGGTCACACGGAACACAATGGTGGCCCGAGTTTGGACGTTCTACCGATTCAGAACGCCGGTCAAACTCACTCGAGGCACCACAACATAACAAGTTATTCGCAGTTACATCACAGGAACTCTATTACGGAATTTAATTCGGGCACAACGAGGCAACAAATATCGCGACAACACGAGGACAATCATGATCTTGGTAACGGATTGAGAGGCAACAATGTGAGACTTTCGAACGCCCACCTTGCTGCTGTGGCGCATCACGTGAGCCTCGGTCACAACAGAGGAATGACTCAGTTGAAACGCGGCATATCTGCTATCGACGAGGAGGAACACAATGATAAAAGACTTTCTATGGAGGATCAGCATCCGGTGAGACCTCCTCTCACGAGAGGCGATTCCTTGCCTGCCGTCAGCCTGGCTGTTAGCTACGTTCACGATAGAAATAAAGAGAAACACCCTGTCAGGGCGCCGAGTTTCGAAACCGCGACCACGTTCAAGGCCAACGGTGAGTCCCTGTCAATGTCCTCGCGCCACCCTCCTATCTTTTAATTTCCCTCACGATTTACCCAACTTCCTACGTCACTCTTGTTGCGAACGTTAAGACCAACTTTTCCTTCCTCTTTCTAAGTTTCCAACGTTCTAATGATACACACACACGCACATACACTCCAAATCTAAACGTACGATTCCAATTTTAGATTCTTACGATAAGTATAATAACGTACCTAAGCCATCTGCTACGGGAGTAAAGGAATTATGCATTTATGCACGTAGAACCATGCGCGCTATTAGATTCTTTCTTTCTCCTATTCGTGCTTTCAATTCTTCCTTTAGTTTCCGTTCTCCCTTCCTCCGTTTTGTGCAAGTTCTCCTGATCGCGTACATATGCGGCAGTCGTCCAAACGCGTATAAAAGAGACAGCGTACGTTGAGCACGTGATAGGACGACCGTAAGAGATACACCGAGTATATTCTCCTTCTCTTTCTCTTTCTCTTTCTCCGTCTCGTTTCGCGTTGTGTGACGTCCGACAGGGTGACGTCACGGTGTATATTTAGAACCAATGAATGAGAACGCTGTAGCTCGATATACAAATCTTTTTGGCCACGAAATCTACGCTTCGATTGCGTGAACGGAACGAAACTTCCAACCTCGATATATATACATATGTATGCGTGTTTATCCATACATATGTTTATAAATGTCGAATAACATTTTATCACTCTACAACTTTATCAATTGGTAATCGTTGGATACATGTTAGGATTTCGAGATTATTCTTGTCTCTTCCTCTCTTCTTGGTTTATTACGTTTGGTAGGAGTATCCAAATATTTCTGTTAATTTGAATGTTTTTTTTTTTTTTTTTTTTTTTTTTTACCAAAATCTTTAAAGTTGTTTTTAACCTTTTACGTTGTTCGTACGTGCGAAAACGTTAATCATTTTCTTATTATCGAAAATGATTACAATTGTCATAAATGATGTAATTATTAGGGAAAGAGAAAGATGTTGTAAACAGACTCCCGAAAGAAAAATATTTCGTGTTGGGGATGATCGAAAATACATTGGACGACAATGTACGCGCAGTTGTAGTGGTATCGTGCGAGGACGCGCCAGAAAACCGGTCCACGTCTTTTTTTCTCTCTCTCTCTCTCTCTTTCTCTCTCTTTTTCTCGTATACCCTGATGTTTTACCGGGCGTCTCTCTCCTGTGCCGGGATAACTGTAATGCGGCCTCCTTTTCTTGCGCTCGTTTCGTAGTGCGTCCACCGTACTCGAAACTAACCGACTATAACCGAACAAAGCTGAACGTGTGGTTATAGTAAGCACGCAGGGAGTCCCACTCATTGACGAAAAGTACCGAAAACGGTGCTTCCCTTTCTTTCCCCTGGACCCAAAATTCAAACGACCTTGCTTCTTTTCTTTAGCTTTTTTTTTTAGTAATTTCTATTCAATTCGATTTCAACAATAGAAATTCTCGTGGCTTTCAAAACATGCTTTCTGGGAAATGAATCGGGGATAAATTTATTTAGTTTTCTTCTTTTCCTTTTATCGGGTGTGTTTATTTGGTAGATTCTTGTTATTCGAAGAAACCGATATTCCTAATTGATCTTTTAAAGAAAAAAAAGCAGAAAAAACGTTGAATCGGGTATAAATGATTTCTTTTTGCATATTTCTCTTTTTTCATTTCGGAATTGTTGTTTTCTTTTGTATTCTCCTTCTTTTCAATCGGATGGATCGTCTTCAAGTAGGTATTTCATTCAGGTATTAGAAGATTTGAAGCGGACCATTACTTTTTTGTTTTTTTTTTCTATCCTTTGATATTTTTGTAGTTTCTATATATATGCAAAGAGAAAATATATATATATATATATAGGAGAGGAAGTGCCGTTAGATAGCTCCGACGACCTTTCTCTCTGTTAATAACTTTACAAATTTTCTCCACGTGACGATGCTACCCACGCCAGTGGTCGGAATTGACAATTCTCCGTTCCCTTCAACTTCCTTCTTTTTTTTCATCTTTTTCTGCTTCTGTTTCTGCTTCTTTTAAATATAACCGATAGATACGGCTAAGTAACTAACGGTTAATGCCATTATCAAAGATCGATAAACATTCTTATTTACAATTCGATAGCTTAATTTCTAGTTGAAATGGTATAACTTGTATTCCCACTTATATACACGCATATATTTACCTGCACGCATCATACGTATATACATTCGTAGGTCCGTAGATGAATACAACGTCGTGTATCGATTAAAATAGATCACACCAGCTGGTGAAGATCGTGATCTGGAAATAAACATGGAAACGTGAGAGTATCTTTAAGATTGAAATGATTTTCCTTTTCCCCTCTTTTAACACACGCGTATCAGTACATTGCACTGTTTAAAGTTGAATCAAACATTTATTCCGTATGTTCTTCAAATGAGATTCCATTTGTAGGTACTATCGTGAATATATATATTGTTTTATATTTTAAAATTGTTTACAATATAATATGTAAAATTTGCGTGACAATTAACTCGTTAATATTTGAAAAAAAAAAAAAAAATAATACCATTTTTCGGATCTATCGTAATTTAAAAAAAGGAAAAAAAAATAAGAGGTTGAGAGACACTTAGCGAAGTTGGCCTCTACGTCATCGTGGTTGGGACGTTGCAAGCGGTTGCGTGCGTGCGTGCATGCGTGCGTGGCAGAGGGAATAGGATCGGGGTTTGGGAGGAGAAAGGGCGGAAGATGGCTAGGTAGAGAGAGGAAAAGGGGGAACGGGGGGGAAGTCGTACGTATGTGTGTACGTCTGTTCACGTCTCACGATGGGAACGTACTTTCGAAACAAGGCCGCTACCACCGGTAATCTGTTCGTTCGAATGACTTGTACGACGACGAAGAGACGAGGAAAAGGATAAGGAGAAGAGGAGGAGAGGACGACAACGACAACGACGACGACGACGACGATGGCGACGTTGATCGCGTCGAGCGTGACTAAGCTTTCGACGCCTACGTGCGTGATGTGATATCTCTTTGGCTAAGTGTTTATATCTATGCGTGTATATATGTATGTATACACTTAACGAGATGCGCACGCGCTTTTTCCTCTTTACTTCGTTTATCTTTCCATCTCTCTCTCTCTCTCTCTCTCTCTCTCTCCCTCTCCCATTTCGTTTTCGTCTCGTAACCTCGCCTTGTTGATCTTTCGCATTTTTTTCAACTTGGCTGAATTCTTCGGCTTCCTACATAAAAAAATTTTCAAGGGAGAAAGAAAGAGAAAAAAGATGCAGAGAGAGATAGATAAACTAACACGACCCTCTTTCTTTGTCTCTCTTATAACGTCTTCGCCATTCTTCCTATCGAAGTCGTCATGGAAAAGTACTAGTCACAAGTCTTCTTGATGCTTCGCAAAGCGTTACTCTTTTTCTACATGTTTCTTTATTTTCTTGTTTTCTTCTCTTCCACCGTTCTTATAGATCCTCCCCTTCCCTTGTCCAGGATTATTTTTACGAATCCACTTATCTTCGAACGAAAGTTCCATTTTTTCATATGTTTTTGCGTACAATATTTTCAATACAGGTGTGTTTATTTTGAAATGTTCATTTAGAAAGAGAAATGTTGTTTTTTTTTTCTATGAGGCTGTTTAACGTAATTATTATTACCATTGAAGATACAAGGAATAAATTAGGGACAAGTTATTAATGCATATCTGACGACCTTACTTAACGTGTGCGGGGTTTATCAATGTGTGCGTATTTCTGAGTTTGAATATCTTACGTTAAATCGATATTATACGATCCGAAAGAGTTTTATAATCAAAGTCATGAGAAAGTGAACGTTTCACTGGCTCTCTCGCAGTAGGAATTAATTACTTTTATTAATAGCCATTGATTGATCTGCCGAGTAACGATCGATTGGAATGTTTTTATCTCATTTTTACGCAATATGTTCTTATTTGTCTGATTTTCTTTTTCTTTTTTTTTTTTCTTTTTTCCATTTGTATTTTTATTTCATAATACGAGATATCATTTTCCATCGGACGTTAGTAATCAATAAAATCCACGTAAGAAGATAGATGCCGATTAATTAACACTGTTACTTTGTGATTTATTGTTTAACAGAAATATATTTATTCTGTAAATGAAATATGTTGAATGAAATTGCAGTTGCTTACGTTGGCTCGTCTATTCCGTTGGCGCCCGCCAATGTAGCTGCAAATGGCGGAGGATCACCTCTTCGTCCTAGGACGAGTCCTCCGCCCCCACCTCCCCCGACGCAAGAAAGCGCTAACGATAATCCACAGAATAATCATCATCAGGTAAAAAGTCTAGAAATAAATATCGAATAAACTCAAAGATATCTTCATATTATTTATAAGAGAATATGTTTGATCTTATCAAAGTTGCGGTTGAATTTTGTAGGGATCGACGAACGGACCTTCACCGATGGCTGCCTTGATGTCCGTTGCCGACAATCTGACGTCTCCAGAACCCGTACCCCAGCCGCCAAACAATCCAAGTCCCACGAGCAGAAGCCCACCAACTACAGCAACTAACGTTCAACAACGTAGCGCTTCCAGAGGTTCTCAACACAGTCCTAATGGTTCAGGTAAATTTCTAAGCTAGCTCGTCAAAAGGTGGACGAGACGCGTGTTAAGTGTTATAAAAAAAAGACATTTAATAATGCGATTCGTTTCTATCTTTGTTCTATTTCGTTCCAAACAAAATTTCTGCGTTTTATGATGTCTCAAACGAAAATTATCGTCAAGTTCGTTAAAAACATTGTAACACTTAATATGATGGACCGTTCTGTATATATACGAGGATGAATCAATAAATAATTATCTGCAATGTCATGATATTATATATTATTACATTTATTACGTTGTTTTATTTTGTACTAACGATTAAAAACCTTACGATTAACAAAATATGTACAGCATTAATAACAGGAGAAAAACCGCAAATACTTATGCGTGGACATTTGACCACAGAGCCAACGGTGTAACAGAAATACCACCATTACATTGCGGATAAATATTAAGTCATCTTTGTATATTTATGTATTATACGTATTTGTGATTATCTATTTGGAGGAATAAAATGGGAATGACGAAAAGTCAATTTTCTCTCAGGATCGGGCAGAAGATCTAGCTGTTCCAGGCACGTATCTTCGACGACGGTAACGACGTCGTCCGAAGGTGCGGTGGCTCAATCAGCGGGTGCTGAGCCTGTATCAGCGCCAACCCTTAAATGCACTCTTTGTCAAGAACGTCTTGAAGACACGCACTTTGTTCAATGTCCAAGCGTTCCTCATCACAAATTTTGTTTCCCCTGCAGTCGAGACAGCATAAAGAGGCAGGGGGCTGGTTCTGAGGTAAATATTATATTCCTTTTTTTTTTCTTTTTTTCTTTTCTAGTTTTCCTTGTATTGTCATACTGTAAAAAGGAAATATTTTGATAATAACAACTATCATCACGTTGAAAAAAAATTTGTTAATTTTATTTCCTTATTTGACCATACAAGAAGACATCTTATTAAAATAAAATCTGTTCGAAATGATGACAATGAAATACATTTCACGACGTATATCCGCGCAAATCCGCGATTTGTTAAACTTTATTTCACTACGCTGGAATATAAAATAATAATAGAAAATTTGTAGGTTTACTGTCCGAGTGGAGAGAAGTGTCCGTTGGCAAATAGCCAGGTACCGTGGGCGTTTATGCAAGGAGAGATTGCAACGATTCTTGGTGAGGATACTAATGGTTCTGGACTTAAGGTCAAGAAGGAAAGGGAAACTTAAAGAAAGTACCAAGAATTTTGACCGTGGCTCCAATTTTTCGCCCTCCCATTTAATTCAATGGGTGGATGTTAATGGTGAAACCGTGAAGGTTTCACCAAATACTTTTGGTAACGGTGTTTAAACGTTGGTTAAATAATGCAAACCAACAAAAACGACTAGAGCCAAAGACGCATTGTCGATGTTGTAACGAATTGGGTTCCCATGAAAAGCAACGGTTAAAAACGTTGTTTATCAAGGAAAGTGGACGGCGATTTGGCGTTTAACTCTAATATCGTTTGTCTTCATATATATATATATATATATATGTATATGTATATAAATATACATATATATATATTTCTTTTTTTCTAACTTTTTTCTTCTGTTTTTTTTTTTTCTTCTTTAAAATACATCGATCAAAGCCAATAGGATTATTCATCTTCGGATGGATTTTTTTGTTCTGATTGATCTTTATGGAATCGCGTCTTGAGAGAGAGCTCAAGGTAAAGGAGTTTTTGGCTAATTGTGTAAGCTGGTACCGATTCTGTCTTTTTCACACTGAAAATACATACACTTACGGTAAACAAAACAATAATACATACACACACGTAATTATTGTACATGCAGAAACGTGAAACGTAGACAGACGTGTTTATATATGAAATATTATGGGGAATAAAACAGGTAGTACTATCGCGCCATTGAATTCTTTTAGTTGTTATGATTTTTCTTATATTTTTTTTTTCTTTCTATCTCTCTCTCTGTCTTTCTTCATTCGCAAACTATTTGTTTGGATGAAAAAGATTTTGTCGATTTTTTCTCTGGCGCGATGGCAAGACAGGGAGGGGGAGAAAGTAAGAAGAAGTGGAAGGAAAGAGAGAGGAGGGGGTTTTAAGAAACGAGCTAATTTTCTGCTCATCTTACATTTGTAATTTACATTGGTATTTTGGGGGGCGACAATCGCCTTCCGTTTTAATTGTCGTTTCCTGTTTTAATGCCTCTATACATTGTGCGCGTGATTAAAATGCACGCGCGAAAAATACATAAACGCGAACACTCAGAGACACTGACACATACATCCACACACGAGGATGCTCAAGTATTACGCGACTTTCTGTAGAATAAATAATTATTACAAAAAATAATTATTACAAAAATATTTTGCAAACATGTATACATGTACGAGCATACGTATATGTATTTTTTCGTTTTCATTTTGTAAACATCATCGAGTATAAAGAAAGAAAATAGAATGAGTAAAAAATATTTTCGTTGGTCCGTTTCGCGAGGGGCGGGGGAAAGAAGAAAAAATAGAATCACGCGAGCGGTTGATCAAACATTTTTACTTTTGCTCGTAATCAAAGAAGAATAGAAAATGTGAAAATACGAATTTTCGAGCCAACGCGGCGCGCGCAAGATTTCTTGTACATTATGTATATGTGTATATATATATGATTATATATATATATGATTATATATATACTACGTAATTAGAGAAGATGAAAGAAGATAAAACACACCTTCGACTAAAGGAGTACCATTCGTTCTTATGTGTACAAACAAATTTGCAATCGTTTGCATTAGTTTGCATTCGATTAATTATCCTAAATTATTTTTCTTTTCTTTTCTTTTCTTTTCTTTCTTTCTTTTTTTATCTTTACTATTTTTATTATAAATTCGTCAACCCTTTTTTTCTTTTTTTTTTTTTTTTTGTAGTATTTAATTTGACTTTCTTTTTTTTATTTGTATGTAGGAATAAAATTCGAGGAGGAGAATGTATCCGTGTCAGAGTCAGATAATGATTGCGAAAGAAAGACAGAAATAGACGAAAATCGAAGAAATCATCAAGCGTATCTCCGTTACATTTCTCAGGTGAAAAAATTATGCGGAATGAATAATTAGTGACCTTTACAATGTTCACTTTCGCCTTTAGTTGTTGTTTATCTCTATCTCGCCTAGACTTTAAGTAAAAAAAGGGGGCATTTTTGGTTTTTCATTTTGCCGATGAAAAAGAAAAGAATACGCCCGTCAAATAGGAACCATACACTCGCTAATTGTCTCTAAAGAAAAATAAAATGAAAAAAAAAAAAAAAAAAAAAAAAAAGATAATAACGACGATGTAGGAGGAAGGAGAGAAAAAGAAAAATAGAAATAAAAGTTAAAATGAAAGGGAGAAAAATTTGAAAAGGAAGAAAAAAAAAGGGGGATATAAGAAAAAATAAAGCTAAGATTATAACAATTAATAAATGGACAAAATGCAGGCTGACTTCTTCGCTTAAATACGTCGGTGGGATGGAAGAGAGGAGACGTGGGCTTGAAATTAAAAATAATCATAATTTTTTCATGATTCCCATTAGCGTGATCGTACATGCATGAGAAAAAGGAAGAAAGTAACAAATGAATTAATTAATAAATAAGAAAAGAGAAGAGACCACCGAATGTAAGAGCAGCTCCTTGTTGTTGTTGTATATAATTGTACAAACTGTGACGAGATTTAAAAGAAAAAAAAAAAAGAAGAAAGGACACGACGAACGGAGAAACGACGTTTCGACGAGAGAGAATCATTTTTTCTCTTTTTTTTGTATTATTAAATTGGCGCTGTATATTTTTAAGCGCGATTTACTCTCTCGTTTGGGATTATCGTGACTTCCGCCGAAGTGTTTGTGAGGAGGAGGAGGAGAAGCAGGGGGAGAGATAATAAGTGAGAAAAAGTGAAAGAGGGAGAAAGAAAAAGATATTATAAGTAAGAATGAGAGAAGAAGGAAAAAGTAGGTGGAATCGATGAGGATGAAGAAAATAAAAAACATTATAAATAGCAATACGCGATAATATCATCGTACACACATACGTGATATATTTCTTTTTCTTTCTTCGTTAATCTTAATACGAGTCAAAACGAGTCGATATCCTGAATGAAAGAGTGAATGAGAAAGAGAGAGAATCAAAGTAAGACAGAAAATATGCAAAGATCTTACCACGTATTGTCCGTAAAATAATACATTGTAAGTGTGATAAAAGAGTGGATTTAAAAGAAAAACGGCGAACGGATAATTCGTAAGGAGAGATGCGTAAAAGAATGATGTGTCCTTTGTACGAAAAAAAAAAACGAAAAAAAAAAAAGAAAAGTCATGTTTGTCCTTGATACGTAACACCAACCAACCAACCCCTTTTTAAATAGCCAAGATCGCAAGGATGTGTATAAATTTATACATACATATATATGTTGTTTTTTTTTTTTTTTAAATGCGAAGAAAAAAATTATTGTATCTTGGCTATATATATATGAGATCGTCGCCATTTTTTCGTATCACGTAAATTCGTTTGTGAATATTATTATTACATTAATGATTATGATAATGATGATGATCATGATGATGATAAGAATTTCAGACCGTTCAACGGTTGACTGTCGTCTTGTATCGTCGATTTTTACAAAGAAAAGAAAATAAATAAAAACAAAAAAAGAAACATGAATTTTGAAGACGACGTTATTTTCGCGTCGTTCTTTGAGCTTTCTTTTCACGATAAGACGAGTTAATATTAATCCGAATTTCGATATAAGGAAGAATTTATTAGAAATAATTTATTCACACATTTTTCTAATACTTCGATGCTCGGTACCAAGGGGATATATGGACAGTTTATTATGAAATTGTTGGTGTAAGCCTATTTTTGAAACAAAAAATAATAAAAAAAAATTAAGAAAATGCGCATAATTTTGATGCTTTGTTTATAACTCATGAAAATTGTTTGCTCGACTTGTTTTTCAAAAATAGACTTGCCATTTTTATAATAAACTGTCCATACATTTATATATATGTACTACTACTACTATTACTAAGTTTTTCGGATTTAATACTCGTTCTTATCCTTTCTTTTGTGCCTATTTTTGTTCTAATTAGTTAGATAATTTATGATTTATCTATTCGATGAAATGTTCGATGTTATTCGAAGAATCAAACGGATTTTATTTATTTTTTGTTCTCATTTTTCTTTTTCTTTGGATGTGAAATGAGACAAATACAAACAAACAAACACGTGTCCACGCCATTGTCGCCGAAAATGATATATATATATATATCAGTATATATATATACATCAGTACATATATATATCAGTACATATATATATATCAGTATATATATATATCAGTACATATATATATCAGTACATATATATATCAGTATATATATATATATATATCAGTACATATATATACACGCGCGTGTGTGTGTGCGAGTATGCGAATGTTGTGCGATAGAAAAAATGATGAGAAGAGAGCTTTCCACGCGAGTATTTTTTTCACCAATAATTTTTTTAAAAACTATTATTTTTATCCACATCTGTTCTTTTGTTTTTATTTTTTATTTGTAATTTTCCTCAATGATTTCTTCTTTTTCCCCTTCCTTTTTTTGTCTTTTTTCTTTTTCTACGACTTCTGTAAAGTTTAATTGCAGATACACGAAAGCGCAAACACGAAAGAGAGAATAAATGAAAAAAAAAAAAAAAAAAAAAAAAAAAAAAAAATACGTCGAATAGCAATTGTAGTAGCGAATAATGAAAAATTTTCTAGTACATATACCATACCTCGAAGAAACGCGTAAACACTGTACTCTTTATCGTATGTATGCAGCAAGCAAAGGCAAAAATATATGTGTTGATGTGTAATCATCCTCTCTGTGTCTTTTATTCTTTTCTCATTTCTACCCGATATCATTTTTACTTTATTCGATCGTTTCACGTATTTAAACAAATATACGTGATCAATTTATTTTCGTTTTATTCCATTTTTCAATATCGTCTTAAGAACTATTGTCGCAATTTAATTTTGCAACATTGTCAGAAACAATCGTTGCAAACGATTTTTATTTTATTTTACATTTCATTATATTGTCAGAGAAATCATATTAATTTACTCTTCATTTTTCAATACTTTCAGGAACAGCTTGAACAAATTATTTTTCAATTAAACTTCACCCTTTATATTAATATTGTCGGCAATAATTTTACTTTTAAATATTGTTAACAAACGACTGATACGAATTGTAATTTTTTGTTTACTTTGCATTCCAACCATTGTCATGAATAATTTGAACAAAAAATAAACGTCCCAAATAAAAAAAAACCCTCCTACGAAAGAGAACGATGCGATTTGAAATAGCAATTTGAATTTGAATTGTCATTGAAGGACGACGTGTTTACATTAGTTTCATGGTGTCACTATATTCGATTAGAATCTCGCCAGAGATTACGTCACGAATTGTCAAATTTATGAATCAATTTTGCTTACGTAGTCGTCATCGTCGTTGTCGTCATCCTTAAGTCGCGACAATTTTTGGACATTGAAAATCAATGCCAATGTTCAGCTGGGGTGGAAATTATTGAGAAAGAGAGAGGAAGAGAGAAAAAAACAAAAGCGGCGAGGGGGTCGGGAGAGAGAAGGGGTGGTTAGAGGACAAAGAACGCGGTACCGGCATATTGATCTGTCGTTCCCAGACGGCCTGAACCCCGTCGTCTGCCACCAAACGAATCCGAATTTAAAGCGAGCTACGATAGTCACGTGATTTCGCTGCGAAAAACATTTCAACAACAACCTCTTCTTATTTTTTACATTTTTTTCTTCATTGCAACATTTTATAGAATCTATCGCGGATTCGCGGTTTATTTCAAAATCAAAGTTACTCCTATGTGTTGAATTACCTTCGTTGTTTAATAAAATTCGAGCTACGATAGATGGGCAATAAACTTTTGTAAAAAAAAAAAAAAAAAAAACCATTTCCACCCCTATTCCATTTATTCCATAATTTGTCATTACATTTTTCTTTCCGACCTGTCGCGGGTTTCACAGTTCGTTCACAAATGAAAAGTAATCTAATTTAATTTATAAGTTACGTTGGTCGTGTTGTTTCAACAACTACTAATTCTATCGAAATTTGTTTAATAAAATGTAAAATTTTTTCGCGAGACATTTATTTTTCTATTTAACGTTTGTTAATATTTATGAAAATGAAAATTAATACGATTAACGTTGAATATGACTGTTGGTTTGATGAATAATCAAAATTACCCTTGGTTTTTGTTTAAAATATATGAAGAGTATTCGGAAAATGTGCGAAACTGACTGTAACATGACATTCTTTTCTCATTCGCGTTCATTAATATTTATTAAAATGAATAATAATGTAATAAGCATGAAATATACTGATCAACGTATTGTACGCGTGTAGTATTTTATAAAAAAAATACTAAAGAAAATTTCCAAAAGTCTGCGATATTATCGCGCCTCTCTTTTTTATCATTAAACTTTAATCAAAATTCATTATAATTGCAAATAATGTAATAGACATTAAATATACATTAGTATATTTAATTATAAAGGCAAGATTATACTTGTGTTTTTTTGGATAACACCCTACTACGTAATTTTGAAAAAAAAAAACGAGTCATTACATAGCGTGTTTTTCTTTTTTTGCTTAATATTCATTGACAAATCAAAGATAAGAAAGTAAAGTTCCGCGATGCAATTTTGTTCGATTGTAAAATTTGTTGAAGACTGCACATGACTCGAGAAAAGGATCTTTCACCTTTAAGGGTCAACATTCGCGATCGTTACCACTTAAGGAGTATCGTCATACGACAGTTCGAACTACGTATTTCGTCATCGTTTCTATCACAACTTCGTGTCAAGCATTGTCACGCGACATTTTTATTTTTATATTTAATTAAAATATTTCTATACGTCTATATATATATATATATCTCTTTGTCAATAAAATAAATTATTTTTCCTTAATTTCTTTCTCTCTCTCTCTCTCTGTCTCTCTTTCATTCTCTTTGTTTATTTACAATAATTAAATAAAATATTAATTCGTGTATATAAATGAATAACAAATGAATCATTCACGTTAATCAAAAAGTGAATTTTCATTGGTTGATTCTTGTGAGATACGTTAAAACCAATCAATGAAAATTCATGAAAATTTTGTGCTACTATTGTATAAATTTAGAAAATTGAATTTTATGTATAAAAACATAGATACATTTGTATATATGTATACTGTGTGCACATTGGCGATGTTCCATCGTCTTTAAAGCATGCCGTGCATGTGCGTACCTTCGACGTACTGTTATTGATTATGGTGCATTAAAGCCGGGAGATCTCTTGGAAGTACGTGGAGATCAATGACGTCTACTTTAATGGCATCATTCTCTCTTATCGAAAAACAATAATTCCCAAAAATTTCATTTTTATATTTTACTATTTAATTTGTCTTTTTGATTGTAATCAAAAATATGAACGAGAAATAATAACAAAATGTAATAATCAAATTCGAAATGAAACGGATATTACTTAAATTGAATTTTATTCTAGAAAAGATCGAAAAATAATTGATAAATTATTTGTAAAAGCGGCCATTTTGTCGAATGAATTAATTGTTAAAAGCTTCTATAGTCTTTTTATATTGATTCGTAAAATATTATTGTCAACTGTGAATATTCATACATATATATGTGTGTGTGTATAGAAATAATTGATAGAAAATTATTAACGACGGCCATCTTGTCGCACGAAAACTATATATGGAAGATTTCAATATTTGTTCGTATTAAGTTAGAAACGATTTTGTTTTGTTTTTTTTTATCGTTTACTCAAACTATGAATATTCGTAACTGAACAGGTCGTTCCCTTTAAGAGGATCGATATCAGCATGCATAGAAATCTTACGGTGCGGAGGCAGAAGGTTTCGCGACGTCGCAGAACATGCTGGATCGTTCCGTTTCCATTTCGAAAGACCGCAAGAACATTCAATCTTGTTATTTTCTTATCTTGTTATCGTCATCTAATATATTATAATGTTAGTCATTTCATATATTTCTATGATAATTGTTAATCATCCATGCGATCGTACATTTATATATATTTAATTTTTGTTCGTAAGAAAATTTACGAAATTACACAGTCTTATTTTTATAATTCGATTACGAATATTTTGTAATTATTTGTATAATCAAACATTTCTTTGTTATCAGGATTTGATATATTCGTAATATACCCCTTTTTTAATATTAATATGAATTTTATATAAATGTTATTATATTATTTGTTTTTCATATTAATGATATATTTTTTCAGGAGACGAAAATACCTGAAAGATCGAGCAAAAGGAAAACAACGAGGATTGGATGATGAATGTTATTGTAAAAAACAAGAGATTGCAGACAAATCTCAATATTTTCATCCTAGCGCAACGAGTATTATCGATCATAGTTCTTTACATTCCTCGCAGTCTCGGAAACTCTCGGAAGAAATTGAAAATACGAATGAAAAACTGGTGGATCGAAGATCAACGAATATTAATTCTGATATCGAATCGGTATATAAAATCTTACACATTTTTTATCTTCGTTATACTATTTATTATATTAATTATGTATTATTATTTAGCCAGACAAGCAAAGATTCCAAACGAATGATCTCGAGAGCCAAATACTCAGCCCTGATACTCAAAATGCAATCGAAAATGCTGAAAAAATACTCGAGGAGGTTCAACATACAATCACAGAAGCTACTTTGATATCTTCGAAAAGTGAAACTAAACGTAGGATTAAAAAGAAGAACTGGTTAGTAGAATTTTACTAAATTAATTAAAACTTATCGTTTATTATTATTATTATATATACGAGGTCGGGTAGAAAAGTTTAAAGATTATATCGAAAATTTAACTGACAAGAAAAATTGTTTCTATGCTATGATCAAAGCTTTTCAACTTTTATTGAAAAAGAAAAATTTTGTTTAAGGTATTCCGATAACTTGCAATTAGAACCACCATTAGAAGATGAGAAAGAAGAAGCGCTATACATACGCGAACTCGTCTCGTCAAAACTACAAGAAATTGATCAAGAAAATTCGGAAAGCAATGCGGAAAGAAAAGAAATGTTGACTACGAAAATTGGAGAAAAACGAAATAGAAGAATCTCACATTTGTTGGATCCAAAATTTCAAACTGTGAGAAGACGTTCCGGCGATATTTCTTATCAACATAAAAATCACTGTTACGTACCCAATGAACAAATCGAATCGCATCATCCGAAAGATAAAATTTCGGATGAGATGAAAAAAGATGATCCAGTTGAAAATGTTAACAGACAGAAGATAAAATCATTGACAATTCAAAAAGGTCCGACGTTAAACATCGAAAGAAAATTGAAAAAACAAACAATTAGGTTCGTTAATATTTCACCTGACGCATCTTTCCTTCAAAATCAATCGAATACATGCGTTTACGAATTTCGTCATAATTCTTGTACGAGTAATAAATCATTAAAAGATAAATTGATTAATCGTTCAGAAGTGGGAGAAACAAATGACGAGGTCGATGAAATTTCCGCTCGTTCAATTGACACAATGAAATATGTTAGAAAAGATACAAATGAAGATGATAACGTAATCGAGTCAGATAAAAAGGAATATCAATCTATTTGGAAAAACGATGATGAGAAAGACTTAATAGATGAAAGGAAGGATGATCTATCGTTTGAAAATGAAACAAATAACGGCAGAAGGGAAGGAAATAAAGATCGAGAGACCGTTCCGAAACATCTGCCAAAGACAGGTGTTAACGACCATTTTCTTTCCAATACCGAACTAAATTCTTCTTTTCATTCCGATTGTATTAAAAACTTAACGTCCGAACAAAGACAATTTTTTATTGAAAATGTTCATTCTGATAGCGATACAAATACGAACAAATTGTTAACTGAAAATGATATTAAAGATATAAGTAAATCCCTTGATGATGATAATGAAAATATTGATAATTATACAAAAAAAAGTACAGGTAATATCCAAGAAGAAATTAGAGGAGATGATATCAAATTATTAAAAAAGAAAAAAACGATAGACTATAAGAAAAGTATGAAAATAATGAACAAACACGAATTTATAAGAAACCGAGAGAAAAAGATCGTCGAAAGTTTTGGTAATATTTGTCAAAAATATAATCTAAGAAATAAATCATCGTATAAATCAAAATACGACAGCACAGTTTCTTCTAATAACAGTTTAGAAGAATCTGACTATCGTAGTTTTAGCGAGCTTGAATTAAATGCACCTTCGATTGAAAATTTCGATGATATATTTGTTCATTATGACCAAATGATCGAACGTATTTCTAAGGGCGAAAAGAAATTAGAAAAAATGTTGGAAGAATTTCAATTGAAATTGTCTATTCAATTGGATAAAAATAAACTGTCTGATAATATTGAAGTCACATCTTGCGACATAGTAGCTCTCAAAAGTGACGATTGTAAATTAATGAAATTAAATCCTTCCAAATTTCTGTATAAACATAAAAAAGATGAAGAATCAACGTTATCTTTATCGGACGATACGATGATCGCTCTACCCAAAAGAGATAAATTACAAATAAATTCGTGTATTACAAACGATCATTTGTCTCTGACGAATCAATTTCGTAATTTGAAACGACGAGAAACTTCAAAAGTTTTTACGTATCCATTAGAACAGAAACAAAATGATCTATTGATTGATACAATTTTGACTCTGAACAAATCTAATTTATCATCTGTCGATTTGAACGTAGAAAATATTTCGGACGAGAATAAAGCGTTAGATATATTTCCTAACAACGACAAAGCTACCGCTTGCGTTCCTCTTTCGACGAATTATCGGTCCAATCGTTCTAATGATCCGGAAGATTTGAGAAAGGACGATAAACCTAATCGAACGTCATTCAATAACGACGAAATAATTGTTCCTAGAATTTCGAAATTCTTATTGGAACGTCAAGATCAATTTGTTGATCGTTCATCTTCAGAGAGGAAAATTAATTTTGACCGTTCAATGGTGCAAGATTTAATGAAACATTTACAAATGTTTTCCAATAAATACGATCACGATATTCCAACTATTTTACAAAAATTTATTACCGATTTCGCGAATCAACGAGAATCCGATTTATTCTTGAACTTTTTATCGATACAAAAACACGATTATGAAAACGAAAAAAAAACTTCATCTAAAACAATTGTGCGAGATAACGAATGCAAAATGCAGATAGATGATATCTCTAATGGAAATTATTTCGATAATACAGCATGCATTCCCATACAACGTCAAGATAAATCCATTGAAATTCATCCGTTAAATTCTATCGAAATCGAAGATACCAAATATTTGATCAATAAAATAAATCAAAAAGAAATTCAAGTATCAGAAAAAAGTACTCAATACGATATTTCACTCGAACAAAATACTCTTGAATGTGAGAATCAAATTATTGAAGATATTTGCATCAATAAAGAAAATATAGAGCAAATATCGGAAATGAAATCTGAAATAGAAGAATATTCTTTAAAACAGAATGAAGAAAATGATTCAAATACTATGAAAATAGATTCGATTGCAAATGATGATACCTACAAGAGAGATATGAGTTCTGAAATAAACACAGTAACTCCTGATTTGCATTTACCTGGAAAAATAATTAATAAGTTATCGAACGGCGAAGATAATAGGTGGGTAAGATATTCCTATTGGTATTTTTAAAACAATTATTTGTTATAATAATAAAAATTTTCTTATATTATTTTATAGTAATACGTCCAACGCAAATACTGAAAATATACTTGATACTAATTTAGCTACGGTAATATATGAAATATACAAACAGTTTTAATGCCATTCATTATACATTAATAAAAATATGCAACGACTGTTTTATTGTAGACTTCGTCGGAAACATCTCACTCGGAAGGAGAATTGTATTTGCCGAGTTCTTGCTCGTATTCTCTCGGAGAAGTTAGAGTTACGAAAAATTCAGCATCTGTATGCAATCGTGCGCTTGTTAGTAATAGTACATTAACTTGCGTATACGACACCACTAGTGTAAGTAGATTATAATTTTAATTTTTTTGAATACTTCTCTTAATATTATTAAATAATATTTCCTTATGTATATTCTTTACTTCGTCTTTCACAGTTATTACATTACAGTTCGGGCGAAATAGTACAACAGGCGGATAGCACCGATACTTTCTAGAATGCAAATACAAATTGATGGCGATGATCAATTTTTGTATATTTTATTCATAAAAAATATATGTACATACATGTAAATAAACAATTTTTAAAGGATAAATTATTATCATGATAATATAGCAAATGTTATCTGAGATATTTGGAGATTATTATCACCTTGCAGAGACGTCCACCTGATTATAAGTAAAAAAGGAACATACGAATGACCGTGTCAATTTCTAAGCTCTTTTAAATAACAGTTTTTAAATTAAAAAGTAAAAAGAGAATTTTATATACGATATATATATATATATATATATATTGGATATTATATACATATATAGCACTATGTACACGTTTTATTTGTTCGAATTAATTATCAGATTAAAAAAACAAGTAAAAAAAAATATATGTATATAATAAAAAAAAAAAATAGAAGAAAAGTACGGTTTCACAAAAAATGCAAAATTGTTGTTTATATACTATATACATACAAATAGTAAAAATTTTCTATTTAAGATCCTTACAATCACAGTATTCAGTCATTAATTTTGTTTAGAAAAAAGCTTTCTGTATGTTTGTAAACTATCGGATGATTTAAAAAATAAAAGGAAGTGAAAAAAAATACGTTTACTTATGCAAAAACGAAATAAAAAATGATGATTATATTGTCTTTCAAATATCAAAATGATCATTACTATATCGTAACAGAGAGTAATAATAATCTAAATTTTGATCGGTATAAAGATCTTTGTACTTGAGATAAAGAAAAAATTAATTGTATATTAAATAAAAAAAAAAGCTAATAATCGACGCTGCTTATATTTTTAATAATTTCATATAAATATAAAAACGCGAATGTTTTTAGATATACAAGCAAATGAGAGCGTTTTTTTTAATGACGTATTCTCCATTTATTTGGTAGACCATTTTTTTTTCTCATCGCTTTCAAAACCAGAATCCAAATCATCGCTGTGAGATTTTTTTAACGTAGAACTTTTGCAACTTTGTCTAACAACTTTATGCTCTGTTATTAGCTGTTTAATACTGTCTACTAAATGCTGAAAAAAATTCGGATATCCATCATAGCCAGGAAAAGCGTTGACGTCTATAACAGCATATTTCTTAGTATCATTTTCTATCACAATATCAATGCCAACCAAATGAAGCCCAAATATTTTGGTTATCTTTTTAATGATCTCCTCCAATATTTCTACGTTTGGCTTAACAATGGTAGGTATATGTTCCTCCGACAATATAGACCATTTAGATTTAGAATCGGGTTTAGATATATCATGAGAATTAAAAAACAATGTGCTTAACGACGCACAATCATCGGAATAAAAGTTCCTTAAGCTTGGTCGCTCAACGACTTGGAAGTTTTTCCCAACTACAAATACTTTATATAAAATGGCATTGTGATTGACAAAGTCTTGAGCAACACATGGAGGTTGGCAGTCTTTTAAATCTTTTTTATTGAAAATGACCATCATCTAATGATAAAAATATTCATTAATATAAATAATTATAATTTTTATATTTATAATAATTACCTTGTGTGCATCACTTGTTCCATGAGCAAGAAGTGACTTGCAGACGAAGGGAAATTTAATATTATTCTGTTGTAGAATGCGCATATTTTCAAGAACATTTGTACTCTTCAATTCTACAAAATTTGGAATAAACAGATCTGAAAGGAGAAAAGTATGCACAAATAAAGGATCAAGTGAGATTAAAAACATATGAATTAGATAAATGATTATACTTAAGAACAAAACGTAAAGTTACAATTACCATTAATGTGTATGCTTTCTTGAATAGTTTTGTAATATTTGTATCGATTATGCAATTTCTTAACATTCTCTAAGGGATCGATAACAATTAATTCAGGATGTTTGTCAATATATTCTTGCAATTTGGATGTAACGGTTATCGCCTTAAAAAGTAAACATTTTCATCGTTAAGATAAGACATTATAAAAAAAATAAAATAATTCATTTGGTCATACATTTTCATCTCCGCCTTCAGCGCGTGCTAATAAATCTACAAGTTTGTGTAGAAATACATGAAGTGGTCCCTGGGATTCTAAACTCGAATTAATATCTACCTAAAAGGAATAATCCAAAATTACAACCATAAGAAAAGAAGATCATTAAAGTACATTTTTCTTTTCAAAGAACCAATGTGTGTAAAACCTAATAAAAATAATATAACAATTATGAAACCATAACCTCAAGCAGTGTAAAGATTCGTTTCAATTTCTGTTCAATATCGTCCATATATCGATACAAAATTTATAAAACTTACTAATTTTAATGAAAATCCTTCGTTCCTGCATACTTTTTCCAAATCGTCGAAGTTTAATTTCTGTCGTTTTTTTTCCCGCACCCAATAACCGATGACATATTTATTACACATTTTTTTACTCTCCTCTCTCGTATTCTGTAACATAATGTTTTTTATCTTGTTCTTTTCTTCAATCAAACAAACATGTTTTCCTCATTATTCCATGATACTACGTAGTTTAATACTAATTTGATATTTTATCTGGCTAGACTGTTAAGACACTTTTTCTAAACGAGCTCATGATGAAACTACATTGAAACAACGCGGTTATCTACGAGATACAAAGATTGGAAACTAAATTTTGAATAACTAGATTTCGCGGTATAGTATATATCTGTCGATAATGTCTACAAACAATGTACTTTTATCTACAGATAAATTTACTAATTACAAATTTCGAAATTGTATATACACATACACACACACACAGTTTGCGTATTAATATATATATATATATATATATACATATATATATATTTATTTTTTAATTCCCATACAAAATAAGTATATAACAAATGTTCAACAACGCAAATCGATTAAACATTTATAAAAATCGTATTAACTTAAATTATTTTCGCATCTTTTTTCTTTTTCTTATAATATTTGATGACATAATCAATTATAAAAATTATAAAAGGATTTAATCTTAAAAATAACGACTATGTGCATATACATACGATTATCTTAATTTCAAGAGGTTATCTAATAACATAAAAGTTATCTGGTGATCTCAAAAAGATAATCGAATATATTTCGATTAAAATTCTTAGCCATTGCGGCGATAATTAGGCAATTAAATAAATCATACATATTAGTTATAATTAAATAAGTTGTAGGTAAAAACATTTACTACTTTTTATTAACATTTTTTACATAATTTTTGTCTTGATAGTTAGTTATATTATGATCTGTGCTTCGCATTCATTTGTTTTTTTTTTTTATACAAAGGTAGAGATATAGAAGGTAGACAGTGATACGTACGAACGTGCGTTAATTATCACACGAAACATACAATTTTGTTTTTTCTCGGAGAAGTTTTATTTCACGAACGATAACTCTCTCTTTTGTTTTCTCCCATTATTTAATATACGCATACATATATATTCATATATATATATATGTATTTTGACAGTCCGTATATTAACTTTATAATTTCGATTGGAAATATTTGACCTAACTGTTTTTTGTAGCTCCGTTAAAAAAGAGCCTTTATACGCGCCTTTCATATTTAATGTTTTTTTCAATCATTAATCACACATTAAAAGAATGCTGCTTAGTCACTTTCCGCAATATTACATTCATGATCAATTAGAATCTGTTGAATATAATGGGCAGATTTATATTCATATTTATATTTATATATACACGTATGTCATGAAAAATCTTGATCTTCTAACATTTAACAGAACTTCGATAATACTTGGATTAATTTCATTTGCTAGAAACGCATCAAGTGTATATATTTATTGCTTCAGTGTTGCATACATCCTGATAATGTGCGATACTGCAAAATACATTGATTATTTTCAGTATATATATATATATATATATTTATTTTTTTTTTCTTTCACAGTCTGGATTTATTCCATCCTATCACTTTTTCAGATTTATGTAGAGTCATAGGCTTTAATTGAAATCTATATAAAAGATCAGCATCAATGCCATAGCGATTATTGTTAATTAACGATCTGAGAAAAACTTAAAAATTAACATATATAATAACTTTAATGAAAAGAGATTATCAATTTTTATCAAGAATTAAATTATGCCAAAATTTTAATATTGATTAATGTTAGATATAAATGACTTTATGTATATTCGAGTAAATTTTGTCGTGTTGCACAATTTTTTATAAATATTTCTAGTCTATGATAGCATAAATACTTATGCAATCTATTATTATTATTACAACTTGATGAAAAGTAAATATAAAGAAATTGTGCGTAGACATTAATCCCTGTGGCATTAACGCTGTTATATATCTGCTCGAGAAAGGATGTTAATCTTTTGCTCAATAACACTGCAATTATTTAAGTTCCTATTGGCATAAGCACTCTGGCGGTTTTCATCTAAACCATAATTTCAGTCGTAAAGCATCCACTCCATTTAAATAATATCGAAACAATCGTTTGTCACGCACAAATCCCAAATTTTCATATAACCGTAGGGCTGGTCGATTAGTTATTTCAGTCTCTAATACTACTTCATCAGCATCATCCTCTACCATTGCACGTATTGCCCTCCTCACTAAATTAGATCCAATCTTGCGTTTTCGATATTTAACATCGACTGCTAGCATCGCAATATATCCACGTTTAATAACCTTTCTGTGAATGTCCAGTTTGCAGACAATGGCGCCAACGCACTCGTCGCCATGCATTGCCTTGATGAACAAAAAGCAAGAGTTTTTCTGTAAATTTCTATACCTGAAAGATAAAGTGAATCCAACCAAAGCTGGCCAAGTTCATTTTATTTGTCTACTATATTACTTCGTATTGATGTCTTTTAAAAATATACGATATCTTCTCAAGTACTAATATATTATTATATCCTATCGCTTAATTTTAAAATATCAGATAAATATATGCTATGGAAGAAAAGATTAATTTTGTAAGAAGTTATGCACTTAAATAAAAATACTATCTTTATATATATTTACCAGGAAGCACAACTTCGGCCAGTTATGGATAAAATATCTATACGTGTAAATAGAATATGGTTCACTTAAGTCTTTTTGTATCAATTTCATTATATCAGGCATTTGAAGTTCGCTCGTATAACTAACATATTCAATATCATTATCATTACTTTCCGAGGATAGTGTTTCCATTTTTTCTGCGAAAGAAAGTAAAGATATTTTTATATGTCTATTATATTAAATCATTCTATTTGATAGTTTTTGTAAGGATAGAAATATTTTAATACAATTATACACCCTGCGAAATTAAACAAATAAAGAATAAGGTTAAATCTGATAATCATTTTGTTATTTAAAATTTACATCAGTCAGTTAAATTTGTAGATGGTGCGAATGAAAAAAGTTAGATAGCTAGTAATCAAATAACTATAATTATTTTTAACAAATTTCATATGCTAACATAACAGATTAGATTAAATGTTTCTTTCTCTCATAACTTTATATCCATTTGATTGAACGTACCATGTTGATTTAAATGACTAGTTTCCATTGTTTGAGATTGTGGAGGATGATTGGATGAATCGGTTGTTCTAGAAAAAGAATCGCATAGACCGTTTTCTTGAGAAATACCATTTGTATGAGGTTCTTCGGAAATTTCAGTTGTTGCAAGAGTCAAACGATTGTTAATATCTAAGGCCAAAACATCTGTTACACAACTTTCATTTTTATCTTTAATTTTGCTTTTCGTAGGATCGGTGTCGTTAGTTTCCGTATCACCTTCTACTTTTACACACTCCATTTCTCAATGAAGAAATTTTTTCAATCTTTAAATACAACTCTAAGGACAAAAGTGTGTGGCAAAGTTCCAGCCACTGTCCCTGGAGAAATAGAATTTTTTTAGTGATCACCTATACAATATATTTATATGACATGAGAATTTTTTCATTGATCACTATGTTTTCAATCGAATTTTCATTATTGTTATTACTTTCGTCGCATTATACTTAAATTCTTATCTTAAATTAGAGAACAGAGCCAAAACCGCTCTACAACTGTCACCATATTGGATTTTCTACACTAACTGTTTAAGCTACTATTGCATACGGTTAACGTTTCACATTTATTTGCCGCTCCGGAAAAGGCTTTTGTAAATCAACCAATAACACGTTATATGCTTTCATACAATTTTATCAAATCAATTCCTTGAGATTACAATTTTTTCTTTTAATTTTTATTTATTTATCTTTTTTTAATTTTTAATTTTTTTTTAATTTTATTTTTTACTTGGTTCGTCCAAATTCTAATATCTATTATCTATTTTATTTCCTGTTCAATGATTTGCTCGAGAGTGACATACATTTTCTAATGATTCCAACTTGAAGGATATATTTGTATATCTATGTTAAAAGTAATACACGACCATAGGTGAAATTCATAGTTCGTTTTCAAAACAATTCTTTCAAAGATCTTGACAGAAATTACCTTATTTTGTGAAGATCATCCTTTTAAAAGCTATGCTTAGGGAATTTCCGAAATAACTTTATTAGAATGACCAATAGAAACAGAGATATATAAATCTTTTTCAAATCTCCCGCGGCAGCTGTAGCGCGCATTATCAACTACATTCTACCTTACCAACGTGATTAGCAACACATTTTTATTTTTTTATATTTCATTACAAAATACTTATCTATTGTAATTTTTTGTTCTTTTTCTTTTATGAAACTAATGACTATAATTATTTCACGAATTAAGTATATATACGCATAATACGTATATATTTGCTTACATATACAAGTTTTTTACAAAACGCAAATAATATAACAAATCATAGATATTATAATTTAAAACATAAACTTGAGCATTTCTTTTTAAGAGTAAGTAAAAATCCTGTCAATCTACAAGAAATGTTTATAATTTTGCATATCTTCTGGTTCTAATCCACTTCTAAATATATATTCTTTTGAAACAATAATCAATGATCCTGACTGTGACTCCATAACTTTAAATTACTTTTATAAATTATATTGGTATTATTAAAAAAAAAAAATTATCAGAGTACTTTTTTTAATAATATGTTCTTTTAATGTACAATCTAAGATATTTATATGTACTTATTTGTGTTTTGTGTCTTTTTCTTTTTCAAGATAAATAGAATTAAGCACTTACTCACTATAGGTGAATAGTACCTCTATTTATAAGTAACTTTAATTACAATTGCATGATAATTGATGCGTTAATTTCAGTAAAGAAGAAATTTTCTTTTGCTTTTATACCTTTTTATGAATTATACATTGATTTATGGTGTAGCGAGTAAAAGTATTTACAAAATTGTTTTCAATTTTCATCCTTTTCGACGATGATTTATAAATAGGCACTACTCAAATTAAAGACAATTGTGTATAAACAATGATATGATTTTTCATAAAATCACAACAGTACGAAATACTTAGAATAATAAAATTTGTAAACGTATGCTTTACATATACACGCTATTACTATTGATTGGATATATTTTTTTGTACAAATTTTGTTTAGACAATTGAAAGATTTGTTTCAACAATCTTTCTTATCCAATACACAGTTGTGATTGGATGACAGGTGCAATTTTGTCAATAATGATTAATAGATCGGTGCAAATAATTGAGCTAATTAAACGCATAGCTTCGAATTTGTTGAATAAAAATTTTTTTTTATATATTATATATTATGATTCGTATATAGGCAACGGATGTCCTTCGGAATTAAATACCCATTTGTTTAAATCTATTATTTGTCTGGTATCATCGAATAACAAATATAAATATTTCAAAGTTTCTGCAAACCAAAAACTTTCAGTCATATCTTGTGGTCGTATATTATTAATACTTCGGACATTTCCAATACTTGTGTATCCGTTTTCCACTTTAGTATAATTTTCAAACGCCTATACATAAAGAAATTAATATAATAAACAATAGTCAACAAAATCGTCTTAAAATAAAAACGTTAAAGCTTACTTGAAATATTTGCCAGCCCCAATCCTGATAAGTTTTATTTCCCGTGAAATACCACATATAAAAAAGACTTTCTAGAAATTCAGGTCGTAAAAGATTGTGTGCATCATTCGTTTTCACATACATGTCCATTTGATTATCTCCTTCTACTTTCTGCAAATGATAAATAATATAATAAGATAATTAAATATTCACGTTCATATTCAATAAAATCTTCTAATAAATGAATTTACCTGAATGTTAAAATAAGTTATTTCAGGTGCAAGGAAAGTTGGTTGTATCGCATATGTTTGATAACAAGTTTTGACAATGTCATTTGCAAAAGCCATATGATCTTGTGGCAACCCATGATGGACTCCTAAGGCTAATGTACCTCCTAAGTAACATGTAAGATGGTCCTAAACAGAATATATTTATAAGTATTTTTTTAATTCTTGATGTTGCTAGAAAGTTAATACGTTTCCAGAATAAAATTACCATCTTTGGTCTTGTATCTTTATGCATACCAACCAATTCCGCTATAAAAAGATACTTATTAATAGCTGTATATTTGACTAGATGTTTCTTAGTTCCAGAAATGCCCGATAAATAGTCATCTCGTAAACTGAAAATAAATAGAAACGATGGTCTGTCAGATACGTTATTATCATCTCGTGCACGCCGTGAAAGATCAGGAATAACATGCTTAAAAAAAATACAGACTAGTCTATGGTCTTCCCAGTTTGTATCCATTGTTTCAATAAATATTCGTAATAGCTGTCACCTCTAGCTCCTAAGGTAATTGTCGCGTATTCTCTAAATTGTCCATTGTTCGCATTGATAAAAATTGGAACTAAACCATCATGTTTGTTTAATTGATGTACGTGTTCTGAGACTCTTGCAGCAGCTGCCTATACAATTATTCACTTATATGAAGTAGCATATTTTTAAAAATAATATTCATTAATAATTATTTTTTTATTACCTCGAATTTAGGTTGGCCTGAACTACGACTTAAATCACGAAATTCTAATTGAATAGAAGTTACTTCGCTGGTACTGCTATCAGGCCCCCATTTAGGACTATGTGCTGCTCTAGTTCCTAAATTGACATCAGAATATGGGACACCAGATCTGGTAGAAAAAGCCGGCATCATACGATCTCCCACATCGATCTTAAATCATAAAGACTACTTAACGAAAGAACACGTTAAAAGATTAAAAATAATAAATATTAAATTTACCGCTTTATTTAAAAATATTTTTTCTCCGCTAAGATGATATGCAGCTAACAATCCTCCTAATACTCTTATCGTCACTTCAAACAGATTAACGTCGCGATTCATAGTGAAGACTAAATTATTTTCGACCCACGATTTGGCTTCTGCAAACTCTAAAAAAGTCAAAGATATTAATTTAATAATATTAAAAGAAAATAAAAATGAATATTTATATGATACACATACCATCGTTCAAACCCATCATATATAAAGTGTCTAAGGAATCCACAATAGTAAGTCCTAAACCAAACCATTCATGATATTTTTTTGATATTGGTTTAATATTGTCGTGACCCCAAGCATATTGTTTATATCCGTTCCATGAATGTTTAAATGCTGCAACGACTGCTCTTTGTCTACTATTTTGTGGTCCTGTAAAAAGTAATAAATTAATAATAAATTATCAAGATTATTATATTATTTAACATGTTGAGCGCCAAATTTCTTTTGACAATTTTTCTATTTACACCATGAAGATATGTTAGCCATAGAAAAGCATATGAATGTCCAATGAAAAGTATAAGGTCAGTCTACAGAGATTAGAGTAGTGTTTAATGCATTAAACATTTATAATTTACCTTCAAATTTAAGCGCAATTGGTTTCGGCTGTGGTGGTTCACCAATTTGATCATCGTCAACTTGATTGATCTCTGGTTGAAATTCTGGCTCTTCGATTACATCGCCACCATGATCGCCACCATGATCACCACCATGATCACCACCATGACCACCGCCAGCTGCAGGTTGATTAACATTATCTACAACAATATCCTCTGGCACCTAAAAAAATTAACATTAGTTTGAAACCAGTTCTTCACAAGGTAAAATATTCTAACTATGTTTTATTTACCTTTTCGTATTTAACTGTTTCTTGAACAACATCGACGCTATTATAGTCGCTGTTATTCTGTAGAAGAGCATTTTTGGTTTCACCGGGCAAAAGATAAAATATCACTAATATAACAGTTATAATAGCAAAGTAAAAAATATTTCTTTGAAACCTTGATAATTGTTTCCATTGCTAAAATGAAAGTATTCATTGAACAATTAAGGTTTTAATAGCCATCCGTTGACAATGATAATAATTTGATAATTATAAACTAATCTTTGTATATATTGTACGATATAATGAAGATAATTGTTCAGAAAACTAATTACCCTCCAAAGGCTACGGGAAGTTCCCCGCGTGAAAGCCGCACTATCGTAGATATTTAAACTAATGTAATCTGTTTTACTTAAATCCCGGTAAGAAAACATGTTTTTGCTGAGGTTAAGTCGTTCTGGCATACGCAATTATTTACGAGCGAGCCAGAAGACATTAAAACAATGTGATTACGTTTAAAACCGTTGGACAAAATGGTCCACATTTATAAAATCTTTAAATATTATCTTTAACACATTTTTTTGTCTACAACACCATTGCAAAATCCGGCATTACGACTCAACATATCAATGAGTTACTGCTTTTAGTTACAAAAAGTTAATATAGATAGCGTTTTTAAAACAGCTGATTCAATTTCTAGAGAAATTCGTAACTTTTAATTTAAATTGTTTTACTTATATAGTTCCTTTATTATATTATTTTTATTTTTTTCATTAGTAATTTTACTATTATAGTAATGGCTCTTTCAAATATATCCGGAATACCAGACAAACATTGGCAACCTCCATTTGTGGCTTTTGAAACAACGTAAGATATATAAATATGCATAAATAAACCATTTCTTGTGTCATTTTATTTTTTTTAATGCTATACTTTTCTTTTTTATTTCAGTATGGGTGAAATCCTTATTGAATTGTATTGGAAACATGCACCTATAACGTGTAGAAATTTTGCAGAATTGACACGTCGTGGGTACTACAATGGTACCAAGTTTCATAGAATAATTCGCGATTTTATGATACAAGGTAAGAGGTATGTTTTCTCTAATAATATTCTTTTCATTGAATATTTTATGAGATGTTAAGGGTTTATTTGTTTTCACAGGTGGCGATCCAACTGGTACAGGAAAAGGTGGTGTGTCCATATACGGAGATTGTTTTGATGATGAAATTCATGATGATTTAAAACACACTGGTGCTGGCATATTATCTATGGCAAACTCTGGACCAGACACTAATGGATCTCAATTTTTTATTACATTAGCACCTACACAATGGTTGGATGGAAAGCATAGTATATTTGGTAAGATTGAAATTTTCTACGAATGTACTTAAATTTTGATTTTATGAATGATTGTAATTTGTAATTGATTGTAAATGAAATCTTGTGTTTCTAAAAACAGGAAGAATTCATTCTGGAATGGCAATAGTTAGAAGAATCGGTCTTGTTGAGACAGATAAGAATGATAGACCTATAGATGATGTTAAAATTGTTAAAGGATCTGTGAGAAATGTGTGATTATAATATTTCTATTAAATATAATTAATTTTTTGATTATTTATATATATACATGTAACATAA